ATTAGAAAACGGACAATTGCGGAATACCTGCTAAGGATTTATCCAACCGAATTCTTTCTTTGTATCAATTCACGGCAGGTGAAGTTTAAAAAATCTTTTATGATACTTCAAACTGTTATAGCTGTACGGTCTCAGTAATTTTAAAGCAAAGATGGTCTGTTTTAGGTAAAATTAAAGTAGAATCGTTAGTTGTTGCTGCAAGTAGTACGCAAACAGAGGCGTGCTAAACAATTAGTGACTTTCAGACGGTAAAAAGTATTCTTTCAAATTCGTTTTTTTGCGTCCCTATCTCACCTTCGTCAGTGCGTGGAATTTTAACGGAAGGGTACCTTTTCCGTCATAATCAAAGTGTACGCCACCACAGTTCTTTGTGACGTTTATTGCATAGCGGCGTACTCCTTTGCCGGATCTTTCAGCAATTTCGGTCACTTTGAACTTTTTAGATCTTTAACAACTTGGAGCTTTAAAAAAACAGTCACCTTTCAGTTTTCCGCCTTTCTATTTTTTTATAGTTGTTTGAAACTATTTCAACATATTTGGTAAACATAATGAATGGTTCATGCGATATAGATCATCGCTCGAAAGTTGCTTTAAGATCCTAAAAATGCAGATTTTAGATGTATCTGGACATATTTTCAATTTACTCATCGGCCAGCTGAGTCACTGCAAACAGTGGGAAAAGTATAGCTTAGTATTCGTTTGAACAACAGCGATAAAACTGAGAATATAAAAAAAATTATTGTCTGTTCAGAATCATCGGTTTAATTACTTTCGATATTCAAGGACAACACTTTGAAATGTTGTATTTAAATTCTTTTTCTCGAGAAAACACGCATTTTGATTTCGAGAGTTCTCAAAATGATTTCGTTTCAAAACCTCGTGGTCTACAGTTTGATCTTCTTATCCTGGTCAACAGTATCAGCTGTAAGTTCCTAAACAGTTCAGCAGGTTCTACTTTATTTATGTGGGGTGGAGTACAAAAAGAAAGATTTAGTAGAAATTTTAGGATGCTGCTTTAATCTTCCAGCTTTATAATCCAAAAGTAGTTTTTCTTGGAACCAAATTTGTAAAATTAAGGAATTTAAGCATATCGAGATGAAAGAGAAGACTTTTGGTTATTAAACTTAATGCACATTTTTTGTGCATTATCGCCTATGTGAAAAGGTCGATTCAGACTAGGAGATTTTTGTTTGTAACCGACTGAACCAAACTTATTCTTAATTTTATTTCTTCACTCATTATTAATAATACCATTGTTATTTTTTCCTTCCTTCTTATTCTGCTTTTTGTCCAAAACAAAAATCTGAAAAAGCTTCCCTATGAATGGTATATTTTTTTGGCGGTGTAGTAATGAAAAAATGAATCAAAGTTTTTTAAGCAAAGTACGAGGTGTTATTTATGCGCTTCTCCAAATTTGGCATCAAACTGGGCTCTAACTGGCTTGCAGCAAATAAATGGTATTGACTTCAGCAACCGCTGTTATGGTGAAGTTTCTTCGGAGAATGGAATGGAAAGTTGTCATTCATGTTTAACAATGGTGCTCTCAATTGGTGGGTCTTTTAGTGGCAATATAGTTGTCAAGTTGGACTGCACTAGCATTATAACAAAAGATGAATGGCACTTTTTGAAGCCTGTAAGATAAAAATGAGTAATTAAATGCAAAATATATACTCTGAAAACCAATTTTTATCAAAGAAATCTTTAGAAACCCCTGATCAACGCAAAGACTTCAATATAGTACGAGGATGCTATGCAACTCTTGTCAGCAGCTCAATTTCACCTCCTGAATCATGCAACTATTTAATTATTTCCAATAATCGCACTGTAGTATCTTTTCTGAACACCACTTTTGCGGACGTGACACTTTTAGCAATCAATAACGGCATAGATTCTCAGCCGCGGTTCTCTGACACTGCAACTTTTAACAACACTCTCCAAAAATGTACTGAAGTATCCAGCACCACTAAAGGTTTTCTTTACGTCAAAGAAAATAAGGCAATTATGATAAACCGGTACAAAACAGTGGCAGTATTTCGGTGTATCAACTTTTTTTGACCAGTATAAAAACAAATTGACAATTACATAATGATATTCAGAGTTGACATGCAAGAAATGTGATGGATCGATAAATGAAAAATGCGATTCGAGTACCAGTGGGACATGTTCTGGTTATTACTGTACCAAAACAGTCAGCGTGTTTAACGGTAGTAAATTTACAACTAAGTCTCATCTCTTTGAACCACAGTTTCTAGTTGCTGCTTACCTCATTTTATTACTTGAGTGATACTTGAAAAGAAAGAACATATGCTAACGCTAAATAATTCCTTTAATAGGAAAAGAAGAGATTGACCGTGGCTGTGCACCACTAAATATCGCCGCTGGTGAAAACTGCTATACCATCAATGCTACTCGCGACGTGGTAAAACCTCTAAATGCAATGGAACGTAGCAGACGCAGTGTCAAAAAAGTAACTGGAACGATTACCTACTGCTACTGCAGTAGTGGGGATTACTGCAACGGTGCAATATCTGCAGCACAGTCTTTGTTACTGCTCCTTGTTGGCATTGTTTTCGCACTATTTTAAAAATTTGTGGGGTGTAAAAAGCTGCAGAAAATGTACAGTGACAAAAGCTTTCTGAAGAATTTATGAAAGTGATAAAATGTTCTATACCCATACGACGCCCTAAATTTCTGCAAAGTTCCAAATCCTGTGAGCGGATTTTAATTTTGTTATTATAGAACAGTCCAGCTTAAAAATAATGGAGGCCGGTTGAATCAAGGTACTTATACTTGGACAGTGCGATTAAAAACATAAGTGCAAAATTTTCTGTTTACATTTTTGGAATCTTCCCTTCATGATTCAACGAGTTCTTGTTGTGTTTGATTTATTGTATTTAATTATTAATGAGCATTCAAGAGGTTAGCTGAGCGTAAAGTTAAAATTCTCTTTTAAAGCTGTTCTGGGAAGAAACATTACGAATTTATGAGTCGTTATTAAAACTCGGCAAAAACATCCTCAAATGTAAGCAACCTGGCGGTAATGGAGACCTGTAAAAAAGTGGAAACAACCTATGTATAATAAATTTTAATGCCGTTATAGATTTTTTCTTAACTCCCCATTTAAAGCTTAAGTATACTTGAATTACTCGTTGTCTTCTGAGAAGTTTTCAAATTATCGGAGTCAATAGACACTTTCCTAAAATGAAGAACTACTACGATAGTAATCCTTCTATACTCCCAATGTCGGCCTTTCTCGTAATATTATATTTCTACCGTGGGTGTCTTGGCACAGCACCAACCACTGACTGATGTGTCACTTTAATTCCTCTGGGACTTTTATGGTTTTGATCCCCTTGACAGTCGTTTTATTACCCGAAGTGAATTCGCCAATAGTGATTGACTGTACCAGCGGAACTCCTTTTACTACTAAATTTCTTCATTTTTACCTCACTCGTGAATTCAAAATCACAAATTTTTTGAACCTAATTCACACCCAATACTCGACTTAATAAGAAAGTAGAAATACATTTTACAAATAACAATTACAAATAATAACAACTTTAACATCCCCTACAAGATCCAAAGCTGCCAAGTGGACACGGACTGAAATGTAGAAAGAGTAAAAATAAAGTAGTGAACGCAAGGTCATCGAATAAAGAGTAGAAGCTTGAGTACGAAGAACAACGTTGTCAGGTTAATCACAATGAATAACACCGATTGGCTTGAGATTACTGCCTGTTTTACACCTGTCTTCCGTCCGCTCAGACCGTCGGCTGCGCAACCTCTCCAAAAGCATCCCTTCAGGGAGCTACGGTGACCGACAATCTCCCGATAGTGCTTTCCACGAGAGGTCGCGACACAAATGATAGTTTTTTAGAAAAACGACCTCTAAATTCTTTTACTTTGACGACGTTAAGCAAAGCTGAACTCGAATATGTGACAAATAGCCTAGTGCTGTATTGCTCTACCACCTAGCTGCTGAGAGTCTGTGCTTACTGTTTTTTAGACTCTAGTTTATCAGTTGCACAGGTTTGCTCGTGCCTTGCGCTGTAAGTTTTACAAGCACCAATCTAGGCATTTGCTTCTAAATAACGTTTAATGGTTTGGAGTGAGGTCCAGACTTAACAAGAATTTAATATTGAGCAAGGGTAGAATTGCGCTGAGATGCTGAAAATGGCGCAAGATTATGCTGACACGACTGATAAAACAAAGCCGTAGTTGGCGACAATGGAAAATAGTTTTACAATACGCAATTCGACGATTAAGTACTTACTCGTGTTAAGGCTCTCAATACCGTCAGAAGAAATGGAAAAGTAATGAAAAAAGTAAAAAGCATCCCGTAGAGAAGCCATTTCATGAACTATTAGGCGATACTTCCATAGGCATTTCGCGTTGTCACATTCGATGTCGAAGGAGATCCCTGCCATGCTTAAAATAGTTTGGATAAGAAGAAAATAATGATCTGGCAATACTTGATGAGGAGAACAAAAAGCGTTCTTGCCTGTGTAAAGAATTCCCCTTCTATCCTCTTAGAAGACAACTCTAAATGAACATCGTTGGCAACATTTGCTTGTCGTCAACGATATTCTCAAACTCAAAAGCTTTACAAGATTTCACTGGAATTAATATTGCTAAAACAGAAACAGTCAATGGTAAGTTTTTTGCATTTTTGTTACGCTGATGATATATTGTTTACAAGAACCTAAATTCTTTTGTCAAAAACAGCTTTACTAAGATTGAGTATAATGTCGCGACCGTCCGCAAAATCTACACTTCATTAAACACTTGAAACGATTCCACAAGGTCCAGACAAGAGGTAAAATGTGACAAAAACATGCAGAACTTGTAATCCACAAAAGGGGGTGGAAACAATTAAGCTAATCAAGTCCCCGAAATTAAACCATATTAATATTAAGCCTTATAAAAGTAGTATATCCGGCTGAAGAGCAGAATCAAGTTAGAAAAAAATTAATATCGATTATTTTCAACGAAGAGTTCTTATGAGCTCAATTTGGAAGCTCCCGAGCTTTTAGTTTTGTCTAGTTGGTCCTGAAGATCATTCCCTCAAACTTTTCCTCTTCTTTTAATTGTTCTCTATTCTTAGCTACTTGTTACTTATCAACCAATTTTCTTTGGTGTCTGTTTCATTCAGTTTTTGTTTCGCGTTTGGTCTTATACTTCGTTTTTTTCAATTCCTGTTGGTATAGTACTGTTAGTTGTAAAAATAAAGTTAGTACCCTAGTTCTCTATTGCAAGGTAGGAATTTAAACGATGAGGTAGGAGGTCAGGATACCAACTTAAGAGAAATAGATTAGAGTTCACAGGGCGCAGTAAAGTTTTCCTGTGGACATAAAATTACGAATAAAGAACAACATAAAAAATTAGTGGTTCAACCAACTGGACTCGAACCAGCGACCTAAAGACCTGATCTAGGTAGTAAATTCAAATTGCAGTTAGGTATAGTAGTCATACTGAAGTGAATCGATCGGTAAACGACCTAGAAGAAGAAATGTCAGAACTAATTCGAGAAGAGCTATCGGTATCTAAAAAGGACTACTTAACCACACTGAGAATTTAGAGAACTGGCAATGTAGAGCAAACAACGATCCAGAAAAAGAAATGGAGCTACTAATTTTAAGACGGAAGGTCAATCGAGCGGTAACATCAATGGATACGGAGGACGAGAAGTGGAGTCAAGTGTTATTAATAACAAAGAGAAATAAGTTGAAGGAAGAAGTAGAATTATATAAAAGGTGGACAAATGAAAGTGAAGATAACTTTCTGGAAATTCTAGAAGGGCGCTAAACATTAAATGAAATTGAGTTGTATACTCAATCCTTTCAGGACCAGGTAGCAGAATAAGAAAATCAGGTCTTTTGTACTAATACCACTGAATTCTCCAAGATAAAACTGAGATTACTAGAGGCAGAACTCCTAAAATTTGATGGAAATCCTATAAAGCGGGGCTTTTTCTGCGACTAATTCGAACCAATCATAGATAAGAGGCCTCAAATAAGAGCCTTGGCCAAATTTAGGTATTTGATTGTGTCTTGAAGGAAGAGCGAAATTAGCGGTACAGTATCTGTCCGTAAGAGAAGATACATATCAAGAAGCGATAAAAATCCTTAAGAGAAGGTACGGAAATAATGAAGTGCGAAGGAGAGCTCTACATCAAAAGCCTAGGGAAATTCCAGCCGTACAGGAAAAAGTGAGGGGTTTTAAATGACCAGTGGAGAAAATCGACCTTAAAGTACAACAATTACTGGGGCTGAGAGACTGTGAAGACCAAACAACTAGTTTCAAAGGGACGCTCTCCTCTGATACACAAACAAGACTGCCGGTCTGAAATGATCTTGAAAAAAATGTCGACAGCAAAACGTCATTTTACGCATTCACAGATCACTCGGCCGCACAAACGAGAGTAACCGAACTTTGTCACCCGCCTTACAAACCGTATGAGTAAAGGACAACTTCGCAATTTTCTCTCAATGTTTTCTTTCCTGTCCATTGGTTTTTACCCTTCGTAATAGCGTATACCTGTCTCATCCATCCTCTTCATACTGTCCCTACACCATGCTCATGAATTTAGCAGCTAAAAAATCACTACCAATCCTCTTCCGACAAGTCTTCAGTAGATGAAATGATTCTATGCGATATGTAAAGAGAAATGAAACTCAAGCAAAACTTAAACTGCAAGTTGCCCTGTTTTTCATCCCCATCGAGGTCTTTCGTTGCACGCATCACCCGCCCTTTTACCCAAGAACTTCATTAGTAAAAATCTCGAAGTGGAAACAACCTCTGCGATACCCATTCGCAGGCATTTGTAGTAGTGACTGCCACAACAGCACAAAAAAGTGACCAGCTGAGAAACTTTTACACTTCTTGCATGTCCTTAATAACTGCGACCTCGCCATTAAAGAAACTTTCAATGTAATACACTCGCCAAGACAACAGTCAGTTTAATATGCCTTAAAATTTGAAAGAAAGAGATGCGGCCAATCTAGAACGGCAAGAAAGTAATTATAACACCTGTGTATTCCCTAGCACCATGCAAACACATTTTAAAAAGTTCGAAAATACTGTTTGAAGAAAGTCATAAAGCCAATCCTTTTCAGTGACTAGATTGAGGTGCTGGTAACAAACCTGGTTTGAACAAAGCCTGACTCTTATTGAAAGCTATAAACCTACTAAGGAGGAAGCATGAAAACGACAATAACATAAAAGATGAAGCTGTGAACAAACATTTGCTCAAACAAACATCAGTAATGAAGTGTGCGAAAAAGAAAATTACTTTTTCAAAGTCGACTCTTACCTCCCTTCCCTATAATTTCAAGGAACGACAACAGATATCAAGGCCAAAAAACTTTGCCCCTCCATAAAAAAGCCTCAGGAATGTGGATGAAGTCCATACTGTAAAAGAAATATGATGGAAAAATTTTCTTCTGGTTTCCTACCTCGCAACATGAGCGCTTTATTCCTGTAAGTCACTAGAAATCCAAAACTACTCATTAGGGAAAAAGTAGTACCAAGTTCAAGTTTGACAAATGAGACCGAAAGCTTTGTACATCAAACAAATAAAAAACTAGAGTTGACTTATCAGGCAGTGTTTAAAATGTAACATCGCAACCACTTTCTGAGTATTCAACAGGATTATTTTAAACTGCCTTCCACTACAAGACACAGATCCTTTACACTAGAAATTATTAGTTATAAATGTAAAATATCAAACAGTGTCCTTTGTAAAATTTGTGCTTATGTATTAAGCCTCTTCCGTTTTCTCACAATTCTTGGCTGGCCGTCAGAAGAATCCGGATTAACTTCATTAGCCCGACAGAGCAGCTCACTTTTAGTTGCTGTATAACCGGTCTGTAAAAGTTTCAAAGATGCGAAACTAAATGAAGTCGAGAAGTTATTGTTTGCATGAACACACTAATTCTCTATTTATAGAGACCAAAGAATAATTTTTGAATCGTTTACCGACTTCCATATCTCGAATAAGTGCTTTAAGACAACCCGCATAAATGGACCTTCCGTAATCCCAGCCCTTAAGAGGTCAGATCCACAAACAGGGAAATCCGGTATTATCAACGATGACAAGCTTTCGACGACATCTGAAGGTGCCAGAAAATATTTCGCTGTTTCAGTCACTAGCATACGATTGTCTAATTTCCTTGAATCTGGAAAGAGGTCAATTAAAAAACGTAGATTATGGGCCCAAATACCTGAACAGCAACCAGGTGATAATAATGAAAACTTGTAGGTGAAGAATCTAAAACCCACTGCAGTTGGCAAAGAAAATCTAAAATCAAACTTCAAAAAGCATCAAAATATAAACCTCGATCCGGCGCTCGTTCCAAACTGATCAGCAAATTTCTCAAATAACTGAATAAACAAGTCCCCTGTGGTACTGTTTCTCGAAAACTAATAATAAACTCGCCCAAACCATATTCGACTTTAGACAATTTACATCTGTAACATCTTGAGCAGATGTATAATTCTTTTGACTGAACTTTTCGAAAAGCCAGTGGTGTAAAGTAGCGTTAGTGACGCCACTTACGATCGTTTTGAAAAAACTATAAACAACAAAAGAAATTCTACGTTTTAAAAGATAAAAAGTTAGGTTAAGAAGCCTCCAAAAACTGTCACAAGTTACAGCTTAAAAATGTAGGGTGGAAAAAAGCATAACAGTCAGCACCTCTTATGAAATCTTTCTAGGTCTTTCAGGTCCTTAAAAAGCGAACTAAGTAGGGTAATCGGCAACAGTCCACGGGAGCAATTATAGTTGAAAATTTTTTTAAAATCCTCCAGAGAAATACTCGATGGAATTCCTAAGTAAGGACCAAGAGCACACTCTTTAAGCATTACCGTCATGACTTCACCAGCCAGTCTGCCTACACAGAGTTTTTTTAACTCCATCCATATACGTTCGCCACTGATCTCCTGTAACGAAGAGAAAATAAAATTCTTTGAAAACTACACTCTCCGCAAGCCAAGTTCCTCGAATCTTAAGATAAATACTGTCATAAAGCACACAAAGCACGAAGTAAGGAAAATTAACAAATAACAGTTCAAGCATACAGAAAGGCCTGCTCGGTTCGCAACTATTGCTTCTATACACTCTTTTTCATGAGGTGCTCCAGGGTTTGCAATTCGCCCAAAAAAACGGAAGTATCGCAAAATCCTCAAGTAGTCCTCCTCAAGAGCAATTTTTGACTGGAAATCACCAGGAAAGCCCCACTACCAATATAAAAACCAAAGAAAAAAGCAAACGAAAACCTGTATTCTG